CCAGGCCGCCGCGGGGCGCAGGGCGGCTGCCGCTGAGGCAGCAAGGCTTACCCAGGCCTGGGAGCTGGGCCCCTGCCCCCGGTGAGGCCGGGTGGCCACCGGCTCTGGCACCGGTGCCGTTACAGTAACGCTGTTGCTCCTGGCAGGGCATAGCACACCCCCACCCCCTTGGGGGGAAACGTCTTACTCCCCGCCATGGGGGAAAGTCGGGGCTTTTTTTCCCTTTTTCCTCAGCGAGCAAGTGTTCCAGGCGGTGGTCAGGAGCAGCCGTGTTGTGATTTAGTAAGACAACGGTTTAGTGATGCTGAATTCCTCCCCCCCACACACCCCGTCCGTTTACGACCTGAAAGTTGCAAGGCAGACCAGATGGTGAACAAGACGCGTTCCTCTTTTCGTTAATGTAGTTGATGTTCTCTCAAACATGCATGCGTGCCTCTGGTCTGTGCAAGCGAAGAGCTTCTTACGCTTAATTCTTAATGTCACGCCCTATAGAATTTAAATTTTAGTCATTGTGTTATTTCTTGGAATGTGTAGCTACTGTCTAGTTTCTAAAAGCTTCATGTCTTCTGTTTTACTTGATTCCTTAGATTTTTCGTTTAAAGGGCTTTATTTGCATGGTTTCTTAGTATAAGACATGACTATGGGTATTTTGGTACAGACAGATCTGGCCTTGATTTGTCTGTGCTCTGAGGAATTAAATCTGTCCTGTCGTCTTAAATACCTACTTTGAATTCGTTGAAGGAAAAGTGTTTTTTTCTGTCTCAGGACTCTTATTTAAAACTAAAGTATCATAATGAATGCCAGTTTATACATCATTGAAGTCCGTTTCAGAACACTGATCTTCTGGTAGACTCTAATTCATAAAGCATGGACCACCGTTGAGTCCTAAACAAGATTCCTGTGCAACTGGTAGTGCACAGAACTGAGCATTCTCAGAATGAGCTTTCTGTGAGGCTGAGAATATGTTACAAAATGCTGCAGTAACTCTTGGTTATAATATAAGCCAAAGATGTTGCGAAAACACATGCTTGAGTTGGGTTGTTTGCAAAGGGAGAGCAAGCGTAAAGTTAGAATTAGTTTCTTCCTCCTTGTCAGTATCCAGGATCTAGGGTTTTGGGTTTTTTTTCCATTTGAAGGGAAAGTAATAACAAGAACTGTGAATAATAGAGGTATGTCATAATATATCTATATAGCTGTCCGTAGGGCTTAAATTTTACACAAGGAAGAAAACATTAGCAACTGAGCAAGGTAGGAAAACCTGTAGAATAGGTGTGGTTTTTTTTTTTTTTTGCCGGGGGCATTCTATTTCTATTGTCAGGGACCAGATGTAACTATATTTTAAGAACTTAAATCACAATTTCTGCTATTTCAAATTAAACCTAGTAAAGTAAGGATATCAGTTATGAATTTTAAATGTTGAATTACAAGCCACTGGAATTCTCTGTTGCATAATCTCATAAATACAGAAAAATATCTTGGAGTTACTTTTCTTTTTGTACTTTTGGTAGCAACCTAGAATACAACGACAGACATGTTGCTTCTCTTTCCTTATCATGTTATGCTTGTTTTCTGTTGGACAGATAGGCCCAAGGTGGCTTAGTGGGTTAGTTACTAATTGACTATTTCCCAATGTGGTCAGCACTTTGAATTTAAGGTATAATTGACCAAGAGTTTGCATTCATCTCTGATAACGTGTTGAGCATGATCCCAACCCTCTTCAGGTTGGGGGAGGGACTAGCTTGCATGTTCTGTAAATATAAATAGAAAAGAGGTGGGGCAAAGAAATGAAAGTGCAAATTGTTACATTGAAATGTGGGCTTTTATAACTGAAATAACTGTGCAGTAACCTCAAACATTTAAAAAAAAAAAAACAACACTGTAGGTGAGCATCAGTAGTAATGACTGAAGAAATTGCTTGTTTTCTAATATGTAACAGGTACTCTGATGTTGTGCAATAAGGCAATAGAGTTATAACAGTTTCTTAAATAGAAATGTTTGGATATGGGAATTCAGAACAGTTTTACAGACTATTCTGTTGAGTTTAATCCTCCCTGAAACAGCAATCTTGAGTGACTCAGATGAAGAAAAAAATTACTTTTTTTGAAAAAAAGTTATTTCAAATTTGTTGTGTTCATTTTAAGAAAAATTTAAAAGGGATTTAGTCAATTTGAAATTATAAGATGAGATTCCAAAGCTATCCGTTTAGTATCATTACTGATTTGGAGGCCTTGCAGGAAAACTGACTCCTTGTAAAATAAAAAGTGCAAAACGTATTGCAGAAAACCTTTCTATTCTTTCACAGCAATCTAGGGTGTTACCTGTAACTAGAATCAGCAAAGGCTCAGGTATCTGGAGATGATAGTGCTTTTCCTGACAATACATCTTATCTGTCTTATCTGAAATACTTTGTTTTTTGTCTTAACTACCCTTTTGTTTGTACTTCATGAATATGTGCTTTTCTGTAATATGTAGTTGGTAATTCTATCAACTTTTGAATGACATTAACTGAATTTTGTATTTTAGGGTAAAATCTTTGGAATATCTTTTCATGCGTTACCACAATCACTAGTGCCAGAATATGGTTATATTCCAAGGTAAATTAACGTTGTATATTTAGACTTACGCTTACTTTGGTCTCTTTATAGTATTGAACTCTTGTCAGAAGAGGGAACATAATATTTATTCCAGGCCTGCTAAAGCTTGTGGGGGATATAAGACTAGCTTCAGCTGGAGAAGGAGGGATGCAGAAGTTAGATGGGGAATTCAGAGCCATAGCTATCATTCAGTTGGGTTTCTTTATACTTTTTGTAATTGGGGAGAACTATCCTATATATTAAGTTTTATGCATTTATTGTGGAATAGTTTTTTTCTGGAAAAAACAAGCTTTATTCTTGATGTCAGAATTATTTTGCTATTCTTTCCTCAGCTTCCTTGTTGATACTTGTGAATATTTGGAAGAACATGTTCATACCGAGGGACTCTTCAGAAAGTCTGGATCTCTTGTTCGTTTAAAAGCCTTAAAGGTATTCTCTAAAACATCTTTTTTTTTTTTTTTAATAAGCTGCATTTTGCTTGATCATCTGCGTGTTTTAGTTTTTGGACTCTTCAGTCATATTTGGCTTGCGATATTGGAAGTAGACCGGTAACATTTGATGCCTCAGAAATGAGAGGAGATCTAGTCCAGAAACTGGTGAACTTCACCTTTTGGTAGTGGGTTGTGGTTTTGGGGTTTTTTTTGGGGGGGAATTTTTCAGCTTTTCAGATGGTGAGAATACACTTGTGACTGAACAAACTTGTTAGCAGTTATGCAGACTGGATACTGTGAGGACTTTTGTTTAGCAAAGTTCTCCCAGAAGGATGTGTATGTGGGAAACCTGTAAATTAACACGTGTGGTCTGACAACATTGACCATGTCTTTTTGTAGATACTGTAGTTAGGTAAAACACGACAAGGCTGAAACTGAAAATGGGGAAGATGTGGCTGTCTTGTCTGCTACGGGCTACAGGATTAATGCCTAAACTTAGAAATCTGATGGTATGTTGAGGACTGCAAATCATGTTTCTTATGAACAATTTCAGAGTAAACTGGATCAAGGTGAAAACTGCCTCTCATCTGCACTGCCATGTGATGTTGCAGGGCTTCTTAAACAGTTCTTTAGAGAGCTGCCAGAACCCATCCTTCCACTTCACCTGCAGGAAGGCCTTTTCAAAGCTCAACAGCTAGGAAATGAGAAGAAAACTGCAACGGTGTTGCTGTCATGTTTGATGGCTGACAGAACAATTGAAGCTTTGAGATACTTTTTCAACTTCCTGAGAACTGTGTCCCTAAGGTCAGTGTAAAGAGAGTGCTTGTAAACAGCTCCCAGTTCCTTTACCAACTTCTCTTTCCAGGCAACTGCTGTAACTTTCTGTGAGTCATTTGCAACTTTAAAATTTCTTGTCTGCAGTTGTTCACTAGAATTCAGTCATGGTCTTTTCTTTCATAAATCCAAAGTGTTTTCTTTATGAAACCTTATTTTGCTTGAGACTTGACTTTGTTTCCTTCTTTCATAGCTGTATTCCCCATTTTTCTTTGGAAAGCAAAAGGAGTGACTGATAAAATTAGCATAATCTAACTGATAACTTGCATTCCCCAAAACTGACCAGGGTCTATAACCTCTTGATTTCAATAACATAGTCGTGCAGTTACCTAGCCTGGGGTGCATAAGTCTACACATTAATCTCATGTGAATTACTTTTTTTTTTTCCTAACTGCATTTGTCTTATTCGGTCTTGTCTCTCCCCACTGCTTGTGTCCTGATAATTTGTGTAAAAACCTCTTTTCTTGTTAAGATCCAGTGAAAACAGAATGGATAGCAGTAATCTGGCAGTGATTTTTGCTCCCAACCTCTTGCACTCAAATGAAAATGAAAAGATGTCAGCCAGTACAGAAAAAAAAATTCGCTTGCAAGCTGCTGTTGTGCAAACGCTTATTGATCATGCAGCAGAAATAGGTAAGTGATAAATGTTTATCAAAATGTCTTGTTGCACATACTTGTATACAGCTTTTCTTTTCAAGTTTTTAAATAACTGCAAAAAAATATTTCTCAACTCATCAGGACAAGTACCAGAATTTATCTTGGAAAAGATTCCTGCAATGCTAGGTGTTGATACCTTTCAATCTACTCCCTCACTGTGGGGCCACGAAGACAGTGAAAATGAATCTCCCAGTGAATGTAAGAAGAGGAGACACCGAAGTGTTGGGGGTAGGTATGTTGGGTGAAAGTTTCATCAACCAAAATAGAATTAATTCGAGACTTCAGGTGTGCTGATCCGTAGCGCTTGCTTCTTCTACAAGCAGAATAGATGTCTGTGAAGTTTGTTAGGTCTGATTTGCAAAATCTATATAAGACTTCAGTAATTGCATTACTTAATTGTATATTTACTCTGAGTTTATTCTGGTGTGTCTGTTGTCTACCAAAGAAGCTATTTTGCTTGTGTTTGTATTTGTGAAGTCATATTAATGTTCCAGCTTTCTGTTGAGTCGACTTCAGATCCTGTTGCAGAACACTGATAAAATAAAGTTGTGGGGTTTTTTTAATTGCTAGTTTTGAAATTATACTTGGCCATTCAAATATATTGCATACTTTAAGTCAGGTCATGAGAAGGCAAGGATATAAATGGCATGTTTGTTCTGAATTGGAGTAACTAATTTATGTTTGGAACTGTAACTCTGAATTGGATATTATTGGATACTGTGTGCTCTGATAACATGGATCTGTCTGGGTTGGGTTTTTTCAGTTTAGCTATTCAATAGGGCGGGGGGAGTGTCTTTTGCCAAATATGGACAATCAAATGGCATATTCTCTCTTCTTCTGCATTCTCATTGAGGAAATAATATGGAATACATATGCTTGACTTGATTTGAATCCACTATAATATTGATCTTGTATGTATTGCTATAAAAATGCGAGTATGTGTTTAGCTCATGGACCTGGAATATTAAACCTGACAGCAACTGAAATTAAGGCCTTATTATTGTAGATGTTTAGCCAAGGCGTGGGGTCTTTTTGCATAATATACTTTTCCACTCTGAAGAAAGGAGATCATCCTGGAGTTGCAAAGTGATAAATGTGAATGTTAAAATTTTAAGAAGCAGTTAGAATTTGTTAATTCTGTGGAATAGGTTCTGGTAGTACGCAGCTTCTATGCTCTTTCTGCAGATGTAGTAAAACATAGTATTACTACACTTTATGTTCAAAGATGAATGTTTAAAAACTACCTGCTATCTACCAGACACCATAAAAGAAGTACCGCAGGGCTGATAGTTTGCTAAGCTTTGTTATGAACACATAGAAATACAACTTGAGGTTGCAATAGCACTTAATAAAAATACTTCCCTTTTACACTTTCAAAAGCAGGAAAATCAGTAAAACTTCATGCATATACTCCGCTGGGTTTAATTTTGCCATTTAAAAGAAAACAACACCCCCAAAAAATAACACATACTTTACAGAGAAGTTGTACGTTACTTCTTTGTAAGACCAAAATTTCATACTTCTATTTGGGCCTAACTTCAAAGCTCTAAGAGCTTTCCAGCTTCAAGATGACTGTCCAGTAAAGCGAGAATATCCGTGAGACTTTCTGTGATAAAGACTTCAATGGATCCCTTCTAGGTTTGCCTACAAGAAATCATAAGGCAAATAACTTTATAATGACCAGAAGAATTTTCTACAAGAAAATTATGTTGTCTGTGTGTGAATTTTTATTTTATTTTTTTAAGGAAAATAGAATTTTTCAGCTATTGTGAAAGCAACAAAAACTGTTTTGGTGAGATCTGCACTGTAGTTTTCACATAACACAACCATTTGAACTAATTTTCTTTATTTCTTTCTTAAAGAATACAAGATAAACTTGAGTTGAAAATAGAGCAAGACAAACTTCATATTTAAATTTGATTGCTCGGTGTGTCTTGCATTTCAGATATTGTTAGTGGAGCATTGAATAAATTTAAATCTAACAGAACACCCTCCACTACACCTCAACAAGACAGAAGCGGTGGGTATTCGTGTATTTATGCTACATAAAGCCCATGCAGTATCTTCTGGATTTGTCAACTATATTTCACAAGTTTTTTTCAACTGAAGAACTAGAATTTAGTCAAAGATAAGTGATTGTTTCAGTTGTTTAAAACTTTGAATATAGATACATATTTATTGAGGATACTGCATTTATTGTTGTTCTTGCAGCAGCTCCAATCACTGCAGCAGTGGGCCGTGCAGTTCTAGGATAGCACAACTGAACTCGTGCTTTTTATCTAATGCACGCTAAGGCTTCAGTGCAGTAGTGCAGCATTTTATCTGGGGAACGAACTTGCCAGGACTGAAGTTCTTTCACTCTTACTCTGTCCCTTAAACTTAGATAAGATGACTATACTTCCCCCCCACCTTCTAATACCTGCATTATTATATTAACGTGGGGTTTGGGGTTTTCCTTTCTGGTACTCTAACTTGTGAAAAAACAACAAAATAAGAAAACATCCCCTAAACTATGCTGATTGCTTTGCCTGTTCAAAATGCATGCACTCTGGCTAAGCTTTTACAACAGTTTTTTTTTTCAGAGTTTAAAAAAAAAAACAAAACAACTGCTTATATTTTAGTAGACTCTCAGCTTTTTAAGCTCTTACTGCAGACTTGGTTTTCTTAATTTCAGTCCTTTCATCGGTGACTCCGTTGGTTCTTACTCCAAGTACCAAGCGTAAACTCCCAACTGATTGCTCTCAAGGCTTGTCCAGCAAGAAGAGACGCTCTTTTAAGCATAGTTTTGCTTTTGAATTGTTACCAAGTACCATTTTTAACAGCAGCTCTACACCAGCCTCAGGTACAGTGCATTCATTTTTTTCCTTGCGGCTTGAAGTAGTTGTTTATAGCTTTTAATTTAAAATGTGCAGTCTCTTGTTCTTTTTAGGCAGTCATTAATAATCTTCACTTAACAGTGTTCCTTGTGCTACTTTCCTGTCTTAGTAAATAGTCTGTTCATTAGTGACTGTCATGTTGCGTGGATTGAGGAAGGGCAAAATTCCGTTTCTTGTTTTCTGTTACATTAATCTCTCAGATCTGCAATCCTGATGTCCTTTTATCTTTTTCAGTCCCTCTGTATCACCTAGGTTATAGTCATGTTTCTCTTAGCACACAAATCCGTGAAGACTACTTACGCTTCCAACCTTTTGAAACTTGTAGCCTTCTTCTGTCTCCTAAGTACTTAAATAGCTGCTCTTAGCTCTATGTGAAAGGTAATTGTTGCTATTATAAAGGTTCTCTCTTGAACCCAGTCACGTCTTGTTTTCTCTCAATGCTAAATAATCTCAAAATTCTATAGAAAAAGTTTTACTTTCGTTTGCCAATGCTTTAATACCACTTCATTCTACTAGAGTGCTTCAAACTGTCAGGCTCTTCTGCTAATCCTATTTCATTTTTGTTTGGTTCCTTAATGTGCTGCCAACTGAAGTTAGCCGATTTAGAAATTTTTTTACTCTGATTGTTTTGCCTGAAGATCAATTTTTCCCCTCAGTTGAATGCTATAAAACTTCTTGCTTTTGTTATTAAATAATTTCATGCTCATCATGAAATTCTTGTTTCTATGGATAAGCAAACCAAAGCCATGACACTTCCTAAAGACAGTAGTAATGCATCTGTTTCATAAAATGGTTACATAGTAGAATAGCAAGCCTTTCATTTATTGTTCTGGCTAGGTATGTAAAAAAACACACTGCAAATGTGCAGAATTAGACTGAATCTAATGTGCAAATTAGACCAAATCTAACTTTTCTTACGAAGCTCTTAAATTTGAGGAACTGATCTGATGATAGCAGTGTGGAAACTTAATTGAGGTAGTGGTATCAGTAGCATGCAGTTAATGGCAATCCAGCCTCTTCTGTGGATGCTACAAGCAACAGCTTCATTTACTTTGACTTCCACTTTTATTTAATATTAATTTCAAGCCAGTACTCCACAAAATAAGCAAACAAATCTGTTTAAAAAACCTATTCTTTGTTGTATTAACTGTTAAGTCTTTATCTGAAAAAACGTAACTATTTTAAGATCATGTAAATATGACTTTGTTCCTGTAGTTCAGTTTGAAGCAAGCCCTTGTGTGTCTTTTGAGTCATCGCAAACCTCACTTTCTCCTTCAACTGGTGGTGAAATTCATCTTTCTAGTACAGGGAACAGAAGAAATAAAAGGCACGCGAGCAAAAAATTATACAGGTAATTTGCCTTAACTCTCAGAAATTAAAGATAAATTGGAAAGGTAGGTCTAGACCCCTTGGCTAATGATGTGTAAAATCTCGATCTGTCTTTAAAATCTTTTCTTGATGTCCAAAACATTCCAAGCTTTTATAGTTATCTTAAAATCACCAGATCTTCCAATGTGGCAAAATGGAACCCAAAACAAAATATGATCTGATATGGTAGCCTCCTGTGCCTATTAAAAAAGCTTGGCAAGAGAGCAATAGAAGAAATAAAACTAGAGGAAATAACCATAAATAAATGTAAGGATGTTTTCATTGCCCTCCTACAGAGTTTTTTATCTGTCACTTCTTCCCCTCTGTCCTCCCAGGGCTGAATCAGGAAAGACAGGTTGTTTTTCTCCAAAGATTAGCCGAAAAGAAATGGTTCGTAGGTCGTTACGCTTGAAGTTTGGTTTGGGGAAAAGCAACAGAGAAATGGTAAGTATTTTGCTTGTAACACAGTTGTCTTGTTACTCTGAAAATCTTAATCCTAAGTTTTGGGCACTGCTTTTCAGTAGCAGGAAGCACTTATTTGGTAACGGAGGGATCACAGCATAACTGCAACTGCTATCAAGTACAAGAAGCCCTAGCTTTATTTTCATAGCAGTAACTGATCAGCTTGTACTGGATGGGGTTAGGATGGGGCAAGAGGCTGGGACAGGGGACAGCTGGCCTGAACTGACCATAAAACTATTCCATGCCATGTAATGTCATGCTTGCCAATAAAACCGGAATGAGGGGAGTTTTTGCAAAGTAGCCACGGCTCAGGGGCTGGCTGGGCATCAGTCTACTTGTTGAGATTGAGTGCTTTTGCATTGCTTCTGGGTTTGGTGTGTTTTGTGTGTTGTTTTTTTGTTCCCCCCTCTTCCCTTTGCCTTTCCAATTCTCTCCTTCATCCTGCTGGGGAGTGGGCAGAGCAAGCAAGCGTCTGCATGGGAGCTTACCTGCCAGCTGGGGTCAACCCACCACACTTGTGATCAGTAGGTCTCACAGTTCCTGAAATGCTGATATTACAGTGCCTGTGCACAGGATCGCTATGTTCGGAGTGTGGTTAAGCCTCCCGTAGTGCGGGTGGGTTGTTCCCTACCTAGGACTACAGAGAATCGAGGGGAGATGAAGTATGGCCAAGAAAAGGCTGCTGTGGCTAATATGCATAGCCTTTTCCTGGAGGTTCCTCTGTAAATAAGATTCCAAATTAAAAGTCTATATGAAGCAATTAACACCTTTTTTTGTTTAAGAATATTGTGTCGGGATGTGCAGTTGGTAATAGATCTGAAAATATTGGAAGGCGTCTTGCAAGTCAACAAGGTTTGGAAAGCAAAACTGAATGTGCAAAAAGAGATTTGCTCTTCAGCCCATGTCTCAATGAAAAATTCCCAAAGAAAGGTAAGTATCTAACAATATATTAGACAGGGAAAACTTTTGCTTTTGTGAAACAAAAGTAACTTTATCCATAAAGTTATAAAAGCAATTGGATTAAAAGTGCTTCGAACTAGCAGACAAAAGTTAGTTGAATGTTAGTGACTCCTGGGGAAAAAGAATCAGTTTAGGACAGGCTTGTTGTGTTTCTGGTGTATTTTAGGAGTTCTCTGTTGTTAATTAAGCAAGATGAGATGTGACTTCAGTTCTTAACACTACGACTTTTTTCCACATGTCAAACTTAAGGGAGTAATGGCAGCTTTAAACTCAGTGCTGCTTTGATAATTAGGGAATTTTTAGCAAGAATTTTGCCTATAATGACCATGAAAATCACAATATTGTTCTTAAATGCTGTGATATTTATTTTAAGGTTCAAAGAATGTGAGCAAGTCAGAAGAAAACTTGTTAACTCCAAAATGTCAGGCTAAAGCAGTTCACCGAATGTCATGGAATAGTCCTACTGTTACATATTCTAAGGCGATCAGCAGGGATGAGGGAATTCTGCCAGGACACCCTGAAACGGGAATTGGTTCTTCAGAATCTGTTTTGATATTTGGAAAGCCACCAGTTGTTCCAGATGAATCCAAATCCACAACTGTAAACAAACAAGACAAGAGCTTAGAACTTTTGCTTTCTGAAGAGGAAAGTAATTCAACTGCAGAAACATTACTGAAAGTTAAGCAAGCCTTCTCTGCATCTGGAAGTAATCTTCACAATTTGATAAGTGATACAAAATCTTTCCTCTCAGATGTAGCAGGTGAAACGTTAAATGAAACTTTGTGTCTCACAGGGCTCAGTTCAGAGAAAGAATTGTTAGCAGAAGAAGTTTCTGAAAATCTAGCAAATACAAAATCCAGAGAGCTGTCGCACCAATTAAAACAATCTTACGTTATTGATAAACAGCAATCAAAAAAAGATGATATTGAAGTTTTGGAGAAAAAAAACTTCAAAACTTCTATTGAGATTGAACTTCAGGTCCCGAAACCAGATATAAAAAATGTAACAGAACTTCCTGTTCCTCTGGCCAGGGAAGAGGAGTTGACTGTTCAGAACAGTTCATCAAAAGATGATTTAAACAAATTAGATTCCTTTGGGAGAAAAGAGGAAATAGAATTAACACACCCACAAACAGCTGAAAACTGTATGGTAAAGTGCTGTAATTTGGAAGAAGATACCGCCAAACTTTCCGTGGCAGGGCAGCTTCCTGCTTCGCAGTTGCCTAAATCACAAAGTGAAGTAGGCAACCAATACTTACAAGCTGAAAATTCTGATAAAACTTTAACTAAAACATCAACTGTTTCTGACCATGGAAAGGTTTCCGACCACATACAATGGTTCAACAAGCTTTCATTAAATGATTCAAGTTCTGCAAGCAAAGCTAAACTACCTCTTAAGTTTCAACGTACTCCTGTTAGACAGTCTGTAAGAAGAATGAATTCCTTATTGGAGGCTAACAGACGATCTGTAAGCTCTCAGTTGCTTAAAGCAAGTGATGTTGGTTCACCGCTTGTCAAATCTTTGAGCTATGATTCTGCACTCTTCTGCACAGAAAAGCCCTCAAAGAACTCTGTGGCTTTGCCACTCAGGAGTGAAAGTACATATGACCAAGTTTCTATATCTCACAAGCAGCTGGAATTAACATCCAAATCATGTTGCAGGCCGTTAAATCCATCAGACAAGCCTGATGTTTCTGTCAGAACTGCTGGAATCCATGAACAGAAAGCGACTGTTCATCCATCAAAGTCTGTCCTAGAAGATCTAACCAACCATGAAACAGTGAAATCCAGTTTAAAAGTTAATGCAAATATAAATATTCCAGGTGCTGCCCCAGAAAAATCTTCAATCGCAAGAAGCGCTTCAGGAAAAGAAAGAATTCGTTATAGAGGCTCTCCAAAGAATCCAATACCTAAAGTGAAACTGCTGCCAGCTGCAAAACCAGTAGATTTGTAAGATCAAATATGATGGCTAAATGGGCTTCCTGTAACTTGGTTAACCTTTGGAAAATCTAAGTTTGTATGATTATTTTTTTAGCTCTAATTATTTGTATTTTTTCATTTATGTTTTAACTGTATAAGTCATGGACTTGTACAAATAACCATTTGTTTTATGTTGAGGTCGTCTTCATTTACTGAAACTCTTGTAAATGCCAGTCAGTTCATCCAAATGAATTTGACTTCTAAAACAAAAATAACCTGTTTTTATAAATGTTTGTGTTAGATCTCATATTTGATTATCTCAGTTTCTAAAAACATGCTGCATCTCCCAAAACAATTTTTGCAGTATTTAGACTAAGCACCGAGTTTTTTTAAAAAAAATAATTCTCAGACATTTAAAACTAACAGACATTTGAAAGAAAATATCTTGATGCTGAGTATTGGCAGTTAAATTTATTTACTTCTTAGTTTTAAGTGTATTGTAGCACTACTTTTGATATTTAATTTGGACCTTACACAAGTTCTATTTCTTTTGAGACTATGGTTTTTATTTCTATTGGAGTAAACTTGGAGAATGTTTTCCTTGCTGAGTAGGTAAATTAATTATATTTTGACATTTGTACACACACACTCTGGAGAATTATTAGAACACATGGAAAATAACTGTGCAGTTTATTCAAGAAGTGAAAAGTCTTAAAACTTAATCCAGTGATGTGTTCTGTAATAGGTACCAAGTTTTTTCAGTTGTGAGCAGTAAAATGGTTTATCTTAATAAGAAACGATGGGTTTAACTTATTTTTAGAGCAATAGAATAGTCTTAACTAGATGGTGCAGAAGCAGGTTTTAGATGCTGATAATGTTGCTAGTGACAAATGTAAGAAGCCATAGCGTGTTAAAAGTTGATTTGCACAAGCAAATGTTTACATCTTTTGGAATTAAAACTGTTTGTCTGTCATCAGTTGTAAAATTATTTAAAAGTAAACACTTGAAACTGTTCATTAGCTTTCTGTATGTGCGAATTGCTTATTGGCAAAATGTAAGAGCTGTAAGCACTGCATACTTTTGGTTTTAATAAAACCATTTGTTTTGTCCTTTTTCTGAGCCTGTGCTTCTATAATGACTTAGAAATTTAGATTAGGTCGTCATATGCAGACTGTGGACATCAAAAATGAGTAAGTCTCAAAATGCTGAAGTTAAGCGATTCTGTTCTGGTCCTCCTTTTTGTTCATTTTAGATACACATTGGTGATTCTCACAACTAGCAAAAGGCATGGCACAATATAATTTGGCACGAGTGGGCTTCTTGAGTGATATGTTAATGAAAGGGATGGTTCTGCTTGCTTTCCGTTCCCTGCCTTCTTCCCCACACATCCACCGATTGGTTCAGCTCAGTGATCTGGTGGAGACCTCCTGTCCCCATCAGCCCCGCTGAGCTGCCTCACTCTTGCGGTGTTATTGTTAAGATCTAACATTAGGGAAAGGGCCTCGAGAGGATCTTAACAGGATTGCTTGGTGTTGGGGTTAAGTAGTAGAAGCTTCAGTTTCATGAAATAAGGGAGCCAACATAACAGTTCACCACCATCTGAAGTGGAAGCTGCTTCTCCCCGGTCTCAGCTCTGTGCTCCAACCCTCAGCCTCTGGCAGACCTCCCAGTAGGCTGAACATGGGCACCAGAGCACCACATTTTGTATCATTTCACCGAGGTAAATAAGGCTCAGCAAAGCAACTGCCAGCTGTCACAGCTGATGCACAGAGGTGGGAGATGGAAATAGAACAGAAGGAGATAAAGGCAATGTCACGAGGAAGAAAATGAGGTGACTCCTGTAACAGTGAGCTGTCACATCGACTCGTGTTTGAAAGATCAAGACTTGAGATTTTTTTCTGTTAATATGTACCAAATATTTTCCATGCTAATGTAGATTTGGCAATGTATTATGGATGGAGCTTTAAACTATTTTTGATCATCAATGCAAGCTGGTTTTGAACCAGTAGACTTAAGTCTCAGGCCCCTACCAAAATCTCCCTTTCTGACAAACACACCCCTAAATGCCAGGAAAGATTGACAAGGCTGTAGGTTCTGTTTTTAGAGGTTTTACAGAACAGTTTAGGCACACATCTCTTTACATGGAGTTGATCATGCATTGTAGAAAAAGATAAGAAACACTAGATGCCCCATGGAGGTCCCCACTGCTTAATCCTGCAAGTTACAGGGGTGTATGATGTACCAGAGCGCAGGAAAAGTGTTATCTACACTTGAAGTGTAGTTCCTGGCAATGTTGTGGTTTACGGGGTATAATGTCGGAGCTTTTCTGTAGATAGTTATACTAAAACAAAACATGTCATGCTCATGTCAGTAGCAGTGAAGATGTGTTACATAGAATAGCTTTTTAGAAATTAGCATTTTGCCAAGTGCTATTAAATGGTAGACTTCATTTAGCACCATCTCTTTAGAGTTGTCTTTTTGTTAGCCTCTGCTATGGGTGATGTGTACAGATTTGCTTAACCCAGAGACCTTTACCTGCAAGTGCTTGGAGATGGTTGCCATGTTGCTAGCTTGTAAACCCGCACTTAGGCAACACTATCACTGATCATATTATTCCAGGGAGAGAAATCACAGCGGGAAATCGCGCAGTCCTGGGAATATTTGCCATCTTATTTCTATAACCGTTAATCCATCAACAACCTTCAGTTTATTTTCAGACTGTTGTGTTTAGCTGGAAAGGGACATGTCGAATATCTCGCTTAGGGAGGAGAAAGGGGGGGCGAGAGGCCGCGGCTGCGCACGGAGGATGCGCATCCGCGGAGCGGCCGCACCCGCGG